AACCACAGCTAAACACCAAGATGTCAAACAGCCATATAATAGAAAGATAAATGTATATTTCCTGAGTTTGATGACCTAAAGACATGCAAAGGCAGGCTTTAGGTTTGAATAGGCAAGCAGCCCAATGACCACAGACAGGACCTTAATCTGCAGCTGAAGCAGCACAAACACATGTTGATGCTCAGACATAAGGTCTGGGATTTGTGAGAAAGGAACATCCTGTAATTAAAAACATGTTTGCTTTCTTTTTTGTATGATTGGTTTGAAGCTTTAAACGTCTTGAAAATATATTTTCTTTTACTTTGTCATACAGGAAAGCCAAAATGTAGGACTGACAGCACAAACCTTTAGAACTAGTTATTTCACTTTTATCCTAAAACCTCAGCAACACTGGAGCTTTACTGGCTATAATAATATACATTTTAGTGTCATTTAAAGGGAGTGCATTGTTGCCCTCTGAAGAGACCTATTACTGAAATGTTTTTCTCATCTGCATTACTATCTAAAAAGTCAGTGGAAAATAAGTGTTTTAGTAATTTCCATTTTCATTCCCATAATAACGTATAGGGCTACACTTTTTGTTTCGTTTTGTGCAACACCAAACTTTTAAGTCGACCTACTGGGTCTTGTTTTACCAATAGACTGTATAATATATGGATGTGGTCTCAGTGACATCCCCCTGAAGTGTGGAGAGGCATTTCTAAACCCAACAATGGCCGCTGTCAAATTGGATATGCTGGATAAGCACCTCTGCATTTGCTTAAAAAGAATGGAGGTTGCAGCTTGGTTTTTCTAGTTAGACTCAAATTTCATTTTGAGTTTTTGTTCACTGCCAGATGCAATATAAAACAAATCCAGTTGGCTTCTTCTTGATTTTTCATGTAGCCCTGCTGAAAAATGTTCAATGAAGAAGTCCTAACCTAGGGTTGCAGATGACCTAGCAGTTGGGTCACGCCCCATGTACAGCAGCAACATTCCTCCAAGCGGGCAGCTTGGGTTCAATTTCACCTAGGGCTCCTTTTTCCCCATTTCATTCCCCACTCTCTCTGCCTGATTTGCTATTCTGTCATCTGTGCTATCATGTAAAGGCACGCAGCACACAAAATACATCTTAAAAAAGAAAAGAAAACCTAAAAACATCGGAGCACATTTACATATGCCAATGGCAGCTCAGCCCTGACTGAGGTCAACCACAGGGCAGTTAAAGGACAATAATTTTCAGCATGACACTGTTTGATCTGCTGTTTTAAGAGTAATCATAACCTGCTTTGCTGGCTTTGGAGAGAATGACACCTCTGTGGATAATTAGGCTTCCAAGAAAGTAAATTAAATTATGACTACTGAAGGAATCTATCCTGAAATCAAGCTGAGCACCTTAGCATATGGTGTTGGCAGTTCTTCTCCAACCACCTCCTGAGGTCCTTTTTTTGCCAGAGAACTTCAGAGTAACACTTAATGTTTTAACCAATCACTTGATCCTTTGAGACTCAGTTGAGAGTCATTTGTAAAGTCTACAGCCTGCTACTCTGTTTCTCTATGTCCAGTGTCACAGCTTAAAAAAGTCTAAGGTTTGACTCGGGTTGACTGATACAAACTGTCCACTCTTTGACGGCAGCCCTTATGAAACACTGTGGTGGAGCTGCAGTGTGAGTTTTCAGTGTCAAAAAAAGGCTGTTTCTTCAGGGTATCGAGTATGTCCTGTTAGAAACTGGGTGTTGCGAATGGAGAAAGAATCCAGCATCCAAGATCAATCATCACCTTTGTGTGCAAAGCACAGTGAGTCTCTTAATTCTTTTTCTTTGTAACCTAACTAAATTGCTTTTATCTGAAACATCACTGTTGGCTTTCCTCAGTTAAGGATGAGAACAGAGAGAATCTCTGTTGTTAGAGGTAAGGTTTTAGTGGAAGTGTTCAACTTCTTGATTAAAATTCGACGTAAACACAGGATAGTATGAATATTGGTTTGTACTGAAAGTCTGTAAGGTTTCACAGAAACATGTTTCAACCAAAGAAAGAGTTGGTTTTCTTCACCTCTATCACTAACCCACAGGACTGGTTAGTCCAAGTTGTCTAGACAAATGATGGAGAAGTTTAAATGAAATGTCAAATGAGACATCTATCTCGTGTTGATTGGAATGCCATAAAAAACATTGCATGTGAAAACACATGTAAGTGGAATATTTGGAGAACTGCAGTTAAAGCAGTCAAATGGGCACACAATAACCCAGTTTCTCACACAAATTGAATAACTAGTGGAAGGACGTGCAGGAAGGCATGAGCTGTCATTATAATACAAGTCATAGGGTCCATTTGATAAGCACCACTGGTAAACTAGCATTAGTCACTGCTGCAAGTGGCCGGCACTTGATTTCTTGAAAGTGAAATTCTGACACATCAACACCCTCCATGCCACAACTCCTACTCCTTGTATGCTTGAACAAAACATGTGAGATAATAAATCTGAATGATGCAGACAGAGCGCCAGTCTGTTGATTCAAGCTTTCACTCTTCCGTTTGTGATAATCTGTATCCTTCTAACTCGAAAAAGAAATAAAGGAAGATTATTTCCTTGAAATCAATAAAAGAAGGATCAGGTTTACTTCGATTTCGCTGCTGTGCAGGTCAGAGGACATGTCAATAAAGCCAAATCAAACTGAGCCCACGTCATGTGAGGAGCTCAGCTCCTCTCTAGGATGAGCCATGTGTGTGTATATACTCATCCTGCTACTTAAAATCCTTTTCACCTGCCTCCTCCCTGACCTTCAGGACAGAAATGTGGAACCTGGGAAATTAGCTCCTCCAGTTAGAAGCAGACTTTTAAGCAGTAAATAATGCTTAGTGGCTGCATTCAGGAGGGCGCCGCAGATGTGAGATGTCTTTTCTAAACCTCCCATAGCCCCATGACCTGGGTGGCTGCTTGCTCCATGTCTACACAGGCATCAGAAAACTAGCGCTCCCTACTGGTGTCAATTCTTCTGTGAAGGTGTGAAGATGTAGACGAGCTCTTGCAGTGTCTCTCACACAGACACTCTCATGGGCTGTAGCATTTCTCAGAACTCTTCTCTTAGTTCTTGTGAAAATATTCCTTTACTTTTCTGGTTCTAATCTAAACACAAAGTAAAATGCTGTAAGTCGTTTGGTGCTATTTAAAACACAAAGTCCAGTAGAACTATGGAAGGCATAAATAGATCAATGCATCCTTTAAGCGAGAGCTCTTTCCCCCCATTTTTTGGACTAAGTCCACACAGCTAACATCATAAACATGACAAAAATCCCTTTCTTTTTTTTCCACACATGTGGTTATGTGACACTGGAAAGCATCACGAGCTGCAGCTAGGACACCAAATAAGAGGATGAAAGGTGTTTTTTAATGCAGCCAGGCAAAGAGCACAACTTATTGTATAACTTCATTAAAAAAAAGCATAAAAGGAAACTGCTCGGAATTTGATTAGCAGCAAGGCTGCAGAGACGCCCGCCCTTCCTCCAGGAGACTTCAAAGACTTTCATTCCCTGGTGCACCTACACACACATATACACCCTGAATTAATATTCAAATATAATATAAGTATTAATATAGAATATATTTTACATTTTTTACTCATGTTGTGGTTAAAAGGGGCTTAAGTTGCCATGCAGACTGAGGCAGAGATTCAGCAAAAACTTGACGTGCACAGGGTTCAGTCAAACAGCCTTGGGGATGGAATGCAGGTTTAACCTGCCTTCATTCAAGTTTACACACCTGCGTACACACACACACGTAAACCAAATAAGATGAATGATTGATTTAATCAAATAAAGAGGTGCGTTAGATTTAGCTAAAATGTGTAATTACTTCCAATACATTCAAAAAGGTTTTTCTTTTTAATAATCTAGTCACTGTGAGACGATCACATGCTGGCACAGATGTGACATGCAGGCTGACAATCCTACAATGACAGCTGTGCAGAACTGCTTTACTTTGTCAAGAACTAATCCATATATGCTCAAACAGAAGCCTTAACATTATTTATTTTTATTTCACATTTTATTGTCAGCCACGTGAGAGGATGGCTTGCAGTGAAGGGGGTTAAGCTGGCCCTGCAGCCACTCCATCTTCAAACAGACAGTAGCCTCTGTCACTGTAAAGTAGGCTCATGCATAACCTGAGGGGCAGCTTGAACCGGTGGATGAGAAGGCAGTTCAATTTTCTAAATGGATAATTGTCAGCTAGTTTCAGGCCACTTTACAAACCAGAAGCATGATCAGAAAAGCAAACTGACACTCTGCTCCTGATAAATGATCTCTGTCAACCTGGAAAAGTAAAAAAAAAAAAAAAGACTTAAATTCAGAACTATTAAGAAAACTGCTCACCTTCCAGAAAGGCGATTAAGTTATATATTGGCTCTGCGTGTAAACAGTCTTATTGTTATATCTTCCTGATTATGGTGCAATCTTAAGTTACATCCTATGAACTAAACATAAGAATTCAAACACTTTTAGTGACAGTTACACACGGAGCAAAACGGTCTCATTTTGTGGACCCTGTGAAGAGCCAGACTTGCGCCGTTACTATAAACTTATTGATCCGGAGCCATACAGTTGGCTGCCCTGTCAAAGGGAACACAGAAGGCGTGGATGTGGGTCAACCTGGATAAACTCCGGACAGGTGGAGTGGTTTGATAAGCGCGAGGTGAGCAGGTCTAACACTTTACAGCGTCGATAAACATGGAAATAACGGCAATAAATGAATCGCTGCAGCTCTGATCCTGCATGCTGGAACAGCTGTTCCAACAAATAATGTGTTAGCCTACTTATTAAGCCGCGTTCATAACACCTTACTCATATTAAATCGCGCAACAGGAAATAGTGATAAAATAAATGAGTAGCGTGGAAATGTGAGAGCTTTCTGGTGACGTGTGAGTGTGTGAAAGGAGCAGGAGAGTGCCCCGCTGCCCTGCGTCACGCAAAATAAGAAACAGTGTATTTCCTCAAGTTAAAAACAAGCAAAGAAGACCACTTACTTTTGACTTCTTCATATGGAACGACAGGAGTAAATCCAGTGTTGTGCGAAAGCCTATTTTATTTTACTTCTACGGGGAGGAAAGGGGTTGTCACCATCCTGTGTGCACATATCCAATGCCTAAGTCAGAAGTATCCAAGCAGAGGAGAAAAAGCACCCCAAAACAGTGAGAAGAAGAGGAAAAACGGCGAAATCTGTGGAATCAAACTCTCAACCTTTGCAACCTGTCGGCTGACGGCGTGTGGCATGAAGCCCATCTATCTATAGCACAGATCCAGACAGTGAGGGCTCGCGGCGGCGGAGCTGGACAGCGCGCGGAGGGAGGGAGTTAAGCATTTATAATGATGTGAAAAGAGCAGCCAAAGAGCCGCCCTCTGACGAGCGGCACTGTGAAGAGCTTCGCTCCAAAAGAATTACTGCCAATCTAAACAGAGCGGGTGAGAAACAGGTTCTCTGCGCTGGTTGCTCAACACTGATTTATTACCAGCTAAGTGGTTTCAGGAGGCAGTTAACCCATGAATGCCCACGATGAGAAACGGATTACTCACCTTTATTATTCAAATATCATAATTATTATCAATTACCGACGTTTTAATGCTCCTCTGTATAAAAGGGGAAATATAGGGCGCATGCATAATTAAAGTGATTATTCCTGTTTTGGTTAAACATTTATTTGTCCTGCCTTGTTGCATAAACTCACTGTTCAAACACATTTAAAACATAGATAATCTGAAGAGCTTCAAATTGACAAGAAAATTAGCTATAAAATCAATTAATATATAATTAAATGAGGTAGAATTTAATCAAATTATATTTAAAGCGCATTTATAAACTTTTGTTTACCTTGAGTACAACAGAGGAAGTATAAATACTAATATAGTTTTTTGGTTATTATCAATCATACAATCAAATACATATTGTTATTGCTAGCATAAATCATATTTGTATGATAACTGTGTTGGCATTGCTATTAATCTGTATTATCAGTTTTCATTTTGACATGGTTGTCATCTTTAGCTATATATTTTCACACATGCACTCCAGAAATTTTGAAAAAATGTTAAAGACAGTCTGCTCCTGAAATCTTCCTGAGTTGCACACTCATATCCTTAAGGTTTTGTCTTTGCAGAAATCCAAGATAGCACCTTTTTTTTTGTGTGACCTTATACGAATGTGGCCTATAATTGGAAGTGTATTCACAGTATTAGCGAACGAGTGGAAAAGATTATACTAGCAGGCAAAAAACAAGATGAAGCCTCCTCATTATGTGCACAAAGTGAAACCGGTCACTCTGCGGTCACAAGATATAAAGACCACCACTCCCATCTGCTTTCCTGCAGACAATAGTTCTTGCTGTGTTCACACATCGGGTCTCATTGACTTCACATGGAAATTTGACTAGAGGGGCTGGCAGAGAGAAGTCCGGGTAAAGATGGAGTAATAAAAAAAGTGTTTTTTTTTTTATTTGCTAATTGAGGACATTTTTAGCAATTGTTTTGTAAGAGTGAAAACACAATTTCTGTTTTCCTCATACTTTCTCAAATCAGCTGGTCAGATGGCTGTCGACCAATCAGTCTTGGTCTGCTTCAGTTTTTCTTTTCAAATAATGCTGAGTTTGCTTATGGCCGATTAACGTTAGGCCTTAAAATATTATGTAACATATAGATAAGTGTTTTTATGATCTATAAAGAGAACAAAATAATAATTGATCGTTGGATTGACAAGTGCAGCACTGAAAACAAAATGTTTGGTTAATACAAAGTACAGTAAGAGAACACAATTTACATAGTCCCTGAAGTCCCAAAAAGTAAAAATAGTATATTTTGCACTCACACATTTCTTGTGTGCACAAGATAATATTGTCTGCATGCAATATAATTATGTTGTACACAAGTTATCTAAGTTGTGTACAGAAGATATTATAAACTTGTTCCCACAATATCATTATATTGTGTGCACAAGGAAAAAGCTTGTGAGCAGAAAATAAAAATGTCATTCAAATTGTTTTAACACAATGTCCTGCATTGTAATATAACATTACAAAGGTTAATGTTGGATGCAACATAAAAAAAAAATACACCATAAAAGCTCAGAAACGTATTCAGCATAAAAAGTCATTCAGCTGTGTGAACCCCCCCCAACACTTTGAGTAGTATTTGTGGAAGTGTGTGCAGCAGAGTGAATGAGTGACTCAGTGACTGAATGAGGCAAAGACGTGTCACAGCTTCATGGGTCTGTTCACAATCAACTGTACAAAATCAGAGCAATCTGACCAACAAACAATAGTGACACATATAAATGATGAGTAATATGAATAGTAATGGGTAACATTCAGTGTTTAAATCAGGACTGTGGCTTTCTTTGATATGTGACTGTTGAATGCAGGATGTGAATGTGCAACATTTTATACAGAAATCCAGTATACCCTCTGTAAATATCTCTCTGAGTCATGGCTGTCTACAATGAGTGAGAAGCCCTTCCAGGTTTACTGTTGTCAGAGCCGCATTTACATCATGTTTACATGGACAGGACAGCCTACTGTGTAAAGCGGTTTCAGTCAAATGACTAGAGAGAAGAATAACATACTCACTGCTTATTTGGATGTCACGTAAGTGTCTTTAGATCACAGTCATTCCTTGTCGATTTATGTGCAATATGAAGTTATGAGTTAACCAAAGTGTGCTAACATTAGTCTGCTAACACAACAATGCAGGCCACGGGCAACTGCAGCTCGAGCAAAGGACAATTTTGTCAGCTGCTTTTCGCTTAATGATGCTTGACTATGGTTCGTTGTAATTCATAACTCATTGTGTGAACGCGAGTGGAGAGGGGTTGGAGGTGTGCCGCTGGAGGAGAGCGAGCGGAGGATTCAGAATAGTGGAGCAGTTTGTTTTGGTTTATTGCTGGTGCTCAAGGGCGACATCTACTGGATCAAAAAGTTGCACATTCTACCTTTAAGCTAAAATTGATTAAAAACACTTTCTTTATCTTACTTCTCTATGAGGTTATTACCCAGAATGCAATGTCTGTACCCTCCACAGAATATCTGCTCTAAAGTTTTTTTGTATGATAAAAGTAAGACACATGGCTACCTCAGTTAAGAGTATTTTGTAATTAAAAAGATTTCGACATTATGTGGGTTGTGCCCACTTTAAAGAAATAATAGAGGGTTTGTGTCCGTTTTTTTGTGTCATTGATATAACGCTGAAATTTATGGTTACCAAATTGTACTTAACGGCCTTTACTATTTGGTTCCGTTTGGTTATTTTTGGGAGGTTTTGAACTCATCATAACATCCTTGCTTTGCATGTGGCACCAGTAAATTTTCTGGTTACTTAACCATTTAATGTGTTCCCATGTGGGCAACAATGTGGTATGCAACCAAGGTTGTGTGTTTCACCCTGCCTTTCTGTTTCAAATTTGCATGTTATCCCACTGCCTCTTCTGGTTATCTCTCAATGGTATCTTCCCCCTTCCTTTTTTATTTTCCAACGTGAGACATACTTTCAATAACTTTCAGTTTCACGAGACTGTGATGAATCATCATCAAAGCGGCTCCCTGAGGCAGGCTGACTCGTAGTGAAATGAAGTGGCATGTTTCACAGGCTGCAGGTACTTTTAGGGGGAAAACGTGAAAGCTCGTTGAGTATTTCCCAAAAGCACAGTTGTTATTCCTCAGCATTTCTTTAAACCTCCAGCACAAGTCAGCCTCTCATGATATGAACGAGACAAACTCTTTCTTTCGTAATGAGTTGGCTGACTCATTGTTCTTTGGCTCCTTTATGGAGAGTTTCTCTTTATTGTGCCTGAAGAAAAACCACTAATGATAGAATTTCTAACAAGCGCTTGAGAGACGAGTACTCATGGTTGTTGGAGTGAAACAAGCAGGATGGGTGGTCAATAATTCTCCACAGTTATAATCGTTCATCTCTTTAAGCATGCTCCTGTCATCACCTGCTTGACAGTGGTTCACAGGAGAAGAATGAAGTGTGTGTGGGGCATGTTTGAGAGCGGATGAGCTGCTGAATTTCCAAAGGTTCATGCTCTGTACAGAATTTGCTCCTGGCACTAATTGCAAAGAAGTAATAGGATTAACATTCAGAGACTTACCAAATGAACCCAACCTAAATTGAGAAATGTGGCCCGCCTTTCTCTCTGTCTGAGAGGCATAATTATGTAATGTGCTTATTTTGCAAATCTGTCTGCATAACACTACTATGACTCCGTGGAAATTTATCAATGATTATAATCCAGTTTTACAGAAAGCAGGATTTCCTGTAATTAGTTCCACATAAAAGCTGCATTAATTGATTTTTGGCCACAAGAGACCTCTCAAACATGTTTCTAAACACGGAACCTGACATACTATTATCTTGTAAAGCACATAGAGACGGCCGACTCCTAACCAGAAGGTTGGGGGTTCGATCCCCACCTACAGCAGCTACATATCCGTTGTGTCCTTGGGCAAGACACTGAACCCCTAGTTGCTCCCGCTGCTTTGTCTGTGGATTATTTACTTCTGATGGTTACATTGCATAGCAACCACTGCCATCAGTGTGTGAATGTGTAGGTGTGACATGCAGTGTAAAAGCGCTTTGAGTAGTCAGAAGACCAGAAAAGCACTCTACAAGATCAAGTCCATTTACCATATACTTATCTTGCAGATAGAGCAATGTTCTTATATCCCCTTTGCATTCTACTATTCACTTTCTTTTCTATTCATCTTGTAGATTTTCCACTTTCTTCAAAATCTGTCTGCTAAAAAGCACCTTTGTGCCAAAGCAATGATTGTAATCTTGCATGTGCTTAGCCACCAACTGTATAAACATTATTGATTGATTTTAAGTCTGGGTTTTCTGAATAATGTATTGAGTATTCTGAGTTTGTTTTTCTGCTAATACTTTAATAATTGTATACTTTTGGGTTTTTCTTATGGATGGATTTTGAGATCCTTGCTTCCCAGCCTGCACACTGTTTTTATTCAACATTACCTCAGGTAGTTTGTAATCAAATCCACCACTGAGTCAACTTCAGAGTCTACCGTGCTGAGTAATATGTAGGCCTCCAAGGTGTGAACATTCCTTCATATTAAATGCTTGAAAACACAACATGTCTAAATGTCAGTTTTGATTTCAACCTGCAACAGTGCCTCAATAACAGTCTTTGAAAGGCCAACTACGGTACACTGTAGTAAACATCTCCCAACTGTCAACTCAAGTCATTTTTATTTAATACAGTTTCATTTTATACAGTCTAATAACACATATTGACATTCAAATGGTTAACAGGAGGCCTTTATAATGAACCTTTCTAGTCGTCTGGCCACTAAAAAGGCTTTATACAGCTTCAAGATATTCACACCTACACACTCAAGTAAGAACAAGAAAGTCTACTGGGGGGTTGG